ACTGTTTAAGCTGTAGTAGGCTGTAAATAATAAAATGTTAATATGAATAAGTTTTATTAGTCTTTATATCATGTATGTTCATTGATGCCATTTGTACCTGTTTCCATGGCATTTTAATATTGGGGACTACAGGGCATGTGATATTTGATCATGTGTGGTGCCCCCGAATTTCCACGTGTAGGTTGGACAGGCTCACACTCGAAAATTCGGGGATATAAAAAAATAATTGGTAATTAACAAGCACATAATACAAGAGAAAATAATAAAATAAATAATAACGCCAAAATAAAACTAACTGATGAATAATAAACCTCTAATACCAATAGTTAATAAGTCTCCAAAATACAACTTAGGAACCCGTCTCATGGACCCCTGATGAAAATACTATAACTAAAATATAAATGTCGTAAGACTACTAAATAAACTACACAAGGTTAATATCACATGTCAATGACTCTGGAAGAATGAAAATGAATGCTCTCTGATCAGCACGAACCACCTCTAAGGTTGGAACTGATGAACACCTGAAAAATAAGTATGGGTTAGACACATGAACAAGTTATTTTCACTACATTCAAATAGAGAACCGATAAACGATACATCCCTAATCAAACTCACATTATAGCTACATAGTCGATATATATATACACACACACACACACACAATAAGATGCTCACTGCAATATGGGACAGACTCAACCGGATAGTGGATATCTTATGAAAATTCGCACACAGGGTGGTTAAGAGTCCCCTTATATCAGGCACACAGATCTCCTATATTCAGTTACTTATCTTTTCGGCAATATACACCTCAGTCCTAACTACTAATCCGGAGGCCACGAATCAACTCGTATCAGGGCATATACATAAATGTATATAACATCATCAATAAGCAAAGCCATATCTAACAATGGTTGGTGTGCTTTGTCGTTGAGACACTCCAAATTGAAATGTGTTAAAGAGTGGCCAAGTTTGAATTTATAAAGTGTCACTACTACCTCTAACTACTAATATAGTTAGGGTGAGTAGGGATCGTCCCAAGGGATTGGGGGCAATGTTAATATGGAAACAAGTTTGGATTAGTAGGTCGAGTGATCAAAAGATGGTTTGATTAGTTAATTAAACTACAATGTAAATAAATTCAATGCAAAACAATTAAAGTAAGTAAAGGGTAGAAAACAAGAGAGATGGATCTTGGGATTTATAGGTCACCACTAAACACCACCGTTCTTGATACTCAATGTGCAATGAATGAGGGGAAATATATGTTGCAACACCAAAATGTGTGATTGATTGAATCAACAAGCATGGATGACTAATTAAGTATATATAGTCTAAGCAACTTAATGAATAACACAATATATCAAACCAAGTCATTATTCCTTCCTTTAAGCTCGCAATCAACACTTTAACAAAATAAAGAATTATACTACTTGCATTCATAAGCATGGAACATCAAACAACAAGTATGGATTGTCCTTCTATCTAATAAAATAAAGGCAACTACACTACAACTAAACTAAGGACATGCAAATTAAACTAATTAAACTAAGGTAGAGGCACAATCCATCAAAATATGAGTATGAACCATCAAACAAGCTACAAGAGTATTCCATTAAAGCACCATACCTTGACAATCTCTAGATTCATAGCATTAACACACATAGACATGCATCAATATCACAAAACTAAGAGATAAATACATAAACATCTATTATAGTATACATAGACATATGAATAGAATGAAATGATCAATTGGAAGCATTAAACAACATAAATCATTGTAGAAACAAGATTCATATATAAATCAAATGTCGATACAAGATTACAACACAAATCCCCTCATAATACAAAACATCAAGATCTAGAAGGCATGCTTAGGGCTAACTCTAGCCCCAAAAAGATGTTTAGCCACTCATTGATGTAGTCATCCAACCCTCAAGGGCCATCTCCATGGTAAGATTGATCTTCTTCTCCTTAATGAAAACCCTATATAAATGGAAGAACTCCCAAATGGTGCGTGTATCTCTCTAATCTCTAAGCTCTCTCCTCTATTCTCTTGTAGATTATCTATTGTGTGTCTCCACCCCTCACATGTATCTCTTGTGTAAAAACGGCTCAAAATCCTTATATAGGTCGCTCCAATGTCACACCTAATGGTCAGGTCTCGTGTATTAGGGCTCCTTCAATGATTGTACTATGAGCCATCTTTTAATGAGCTGGACTCAGTTTTATTTCGAACTTGAGGAGATTCGATGGATCGAAGAATGTTTAGATCGATCAAAGTGTGGCTAGATCGATTAAACCTTGGTGGCGCCTTTTTGGAACAGGACAAGCTTGAGATATTTTTGGGATATTTTAGGAAAAAGACAAAAGAGGTAGGTAGGGATAAGATCAAAGAAGTTGGATCGATCGAAAAGAAAGTTGGATCGATCGAAGATAGAAATTCTTGAGGATAAGGACAAGGGGTTTGATCCATCTTGGTGAGGCTGAATCGATCACTGTGAGATCGATCGAAGATTGGTCTGATCGATCGAAACTTGCTGTTTTCCACCACTTTGCTCCTTTTTTTGATCATTTCTTCCATTTAGCTTAAGATTGCTTCTTTTATGCTCTAATTTGGCTGAATTGACTTATTTTGGGGATAAGCGCTTGAAAAGGGCAATAACACGAAATTAGTCTAAAACAGGAAAATAAGATAGATAAAGGTCCTAAAATAATCGAGCTTAAGGGGTTTAAATACGTACTTTTCAGCGCTCATCAGCACAAGTAGCGTGTCGACTTATTAGCCAGTCCACTTATAAATCGAATCATCAAAAACATGTCTAACAATGACATAAAATATCATGAAGCCTAACTTATTAGCTATTCAGGGACGGAGCTAGTATAGGAACGGGTGGCACGTGCCCCCCCTATATTTTTTCTTTCCCTTATATATATATATATATATATATTCCTATAATATGTATATATATGTTGGAAATGTGTAAAAATGCCCTCCTGAATTTCCTCCTTCTTTTATACACTATATATGTTTCCTTAAATGTTTTTTCTTAAATTGTTTCATTATATTATATATATGTAATTTATTAATTTATCTCATCCCAAAAATATCAATCTCTATATATATCCACCTATGTCTCTTTATGTATATATACTCCATAAATACTAATTTATATGTATTTAGTGTATAATGTGTCCCCCGAAGAAAAAAAAATTATGGCTCTGTCCCATTAGCTATCTCAATGATTTCGTTATATATAAAACCATATTTAACAATGAGTCTATCTTATTAGTTATCTCAATGATTACATCACATACATCCATTAATCTCATCCACAAGGTATAAATTAGAGATATAATAAATAATATAACCGTAGATCATGTTTATAGATCACAAGGACATCAACACATATAATTAAACCATAAATTAGATTATGAAATTAATTGCACAATTAACGTATTAGCACAAAATAATTTGGAACTTATTACTTAATTTAACCATTTATTAATATTAATTACGTGTAACAATATATAACACGTATTTTCCACTAAAGTGGTAAAATCGACCAACCACTACCATATTGTCCAAAAAGTGGTTATAACAAATATTTAAATAACACGTTACACGTTATATAACTATTTAGAATTATTCACCCAACACCTAATCAACACAACATTATCCAAATTGGTTACAACAATTGAGATAAAATATATAACCAATACATTATTTAATGTACGATATAATTTACCAATACGTAACCAATGCAACGTTTTTCAAAAAGCGAATACCCACTTAAAGTGGTAAAACAATTTGGACACAATTAAATATGGATTTAGGAGTCCTTGTTTTACGGGATTCCCAAGTTGTATTTTTGGAGATTTAAACATTTATCGATTTTGTGGATGGTTGAAGATTATTATCATTTATTGTAATTTCTTTTTGCTTTTAATTTTAATTTTTTTTTATTTTTTATTTTTTATCATTTTGTACTTCGTGCTTGCTTATTATCTATTGCCTCTGATATCACCCGATTTTTGTGTGTAAGTCTGATCAACTTATGTGTGAAAATTGGGGGTATCACAATTAAGGTGAGTAAGAATATTTGCATTGTTGAACAATATTGTGTGTGTGTGATAAATTACACTGACCTCCCTTGATGTTTGAACAAATTACAAATGTGAAGAATATTTCAGCGTTTATTACTTTAATCTCTCTTAAACTCGTTCACGGGTGGCTGAAAAATATGAAAGTTAGTAATGCCCTTATATTATAATATAGGGCGAATTACATTGAATTCCTCTAGATTTACCATAATTACACGGATCTCCCCTACCATTTTTTAAATTACTTGGACATCCCCTAAAAACTAAACCTTGTAACACACACCACCCTCGCAACAAACATTTTTTTTTTCTTTTCTATAATTTCAACTTCATAAGTCATCTTCTTACAGACATTAATTATAGCATTGTGTTGTTGGGTTGCAATATGGTGTTGGAGAAGGTATACTTGAATTTTAAGAGGTGATTTACATACATATATGGATGTATGTATAGATTAGGAGTGAGATAGAATTCAAAATGTTTGGAAGCAAATTGAATTTTCGTCATGAACTAGTGGTAGGGAGGCCCATGTCACAAGATTTGTTTTTAATAGGTTAGAGTAATTTTTAAAATTTAAGAAAAGTTCCGTAATTATGACAAATTTTAAAAAAAATTAATATAATTTTTATTCTATAAAAGAAAAGGAAAAAAAAATATTATTTTATAAAATTTGGTATCCAAAACAAAACAAGAGAAGTGTCATTGACCACAAACGATAATACTTGGGTCCAACCCAGATTGGATTGAATGAAGTTCATCCAACCTGGGTACGTGGCCCAATCACATTACAGCACGCCGCTGCAATTAATATAAAATTAAAATGGATATTATCCATGAATTTCCGGTATAACCCGTTTATCATTTCATCATCAATCTTTCCTCCTCTCAAGTCCTTCACCTTCGGTTGCCTTAGATCCGATTCTCGTTTGGTGGCTGTTGGCGAAGAAGTAACCGGAGTTGAGGTCGGTGGTGTAGTCCAGTGTCGCCGAGGTGGCCTAAGAAGAGCATGGAGAGGATAAATCGAGTGGTGTTGGAGACCGAGTTGACTCGGCAGAGCCATGGCCGAGTCCGAAAATCCCGGCAGGTAGACGACAAGATAAGAGAGAACAGTCGCCCACTTCACAGCGCAGAGAATGGAGAGGTTGACAAAGACCTCGTTGCCCGGAGAAGAAGCGGGGCGTGTGCGCGTGACGGCGACTGGCCTGCGAAGTTCAGTCCGGCGATGAATCAAGCATGGCTGATAGTTACATGGATGCTCCTCGAACTGCCGTCGCCTTTTTGCTCCTCGAACTGTAGCCGACGGCAAGCTCGAGCTCTACAAATCTCAGGCTTTGGGGAAAGAAAATGGAGGCTGGGGCAGTCACGGTGCTCTAAATTGATGATTGGGGTTGCGAATTGGTGGTTTGGGGCTGCTGTTTGGTTGCTTGATTTGGTTGTTGGAGTTTGAATTTGGGTGTTGATTACCATGGGTGGCTGAATTTTGTGTTTGCAGGCCAACTTTGTGATTGGGTGGTTCTTGTTTTGGGGATTGAAGATGCAGCAAGCCAAAAAAACGATGAGTTTGACGTGGAGAGTTCTGGAAATTGGGGATGGAGAGTAAGAACGGGTTATACCCGGGAATTGATGGGTAATATTCATTTTAATTTTATATTAAGTAACCACGTGTGATTGGGCCACGTGTCCAGTTCGGATAAACTTCATCCGGACCGGAAGTCTTTCGTTACCCAGAACTCAAAGGAAGTCTGTCTAATTTACCCATATGTACACCCACACGATAATTTACCCCGTGTATATAGATATACATATGTGTGTATGTGTATATATATATACATATGCACACACACGATATGGTAATAGACTAATAGGTACCGATATCTCATCGCTTAGGTACCGATATCTCATCGCTTCAGGGTACAGCCGTTCTAGATAGAGATAACCAAAAACCCTCACTCTCTCATACCTCACGGCCTGCCACCGAAGCCGGCTTCGTCAACCTCACTGACCACCCACTGGTTTTACGGCCTACGGTCAGTTCTCTCTCTTTTTCTTTTTTTCTTCAAAGTTAAAGATCCATTGCTGTGTGTGGTATAACCAAAGTACAACTTAGTGAACTTGCTGCGTGTGGTATACATAAAGTAAAACTCAGTGAACTTACTCTGTGGGTGGACACTGACAGTGGCTGTATATATATTATATGTCTAAAGGGCGTATAGATTTACACCAATTTATTACTTGAGAAATGGGTAAATCTTTATTTTTCAGATATTTGTGTTTGATTATGATCTAAGGGTTCAATTAGAACAGAATATACATCCGATCTTATGAAATTCCTTTATCTTTTACACAGATTTAATGATTCTGATCTCATAAAATTACTTTAACAGAACACATATCATTTATATATTTCCTTTATTTTTACAGTAGTTCACTTATCATTTAAGCTCACAGAACGCATACTTGATCATTCATTTTGATTATATGTTAGTGTATCAGTAAATTCAAACTTAAATGGGGTGGGGCAGTGAAACTTAAATGGGACGGTGAGAGGAGGGTTTTGCTAAACAGGTTTGGTGGGGAGACTTAAACGGGAGGGGGAAGGTACTCCTGTCCCCTTTGCCATCCCTATGTACGTTGTAATTAATCAAGAAGAAGAAAGGTTGTAATGATAATCACGAAGAAAGGTAGTAGTAAGAGCACACTCTCTATTAGTTTCACTTGTTAATAACCAACTAATTACCGATCAAATATCTAAATTTCACTGAGGTCACTTAGCTTTCCATAGTATATATAGCTAGGGGTGCAAATTGGGTGGGCCCAATTCGGACAAACTCGAGCCTAGTTCCAAAGTTTTTGGGCAGGCTGTTTAACTTGCAATTTGGTCCGAGCTTGGTTTGAAAAGTAATAACCCCATTTCATTTTGATTGGAGCTCGAGTTACTGTGTGGATCAATTCGAAGCCTAACCTGAGGCGATCCTGAACTATATTTAAACCCGACTTATCAACCCTAACAATGAATCGGATATATACTGCAAAGCTGACCTCCCCTCCTTGAAGGGGACGATTTCTCCCCCAAATTTTTATGTTGGAAAAAATAACCTCATTAGAGTATGTCAGCTCATAAAAGGTGGCTATTTATTTTATTTCAAAACTTACATCCCCAGCTTCTATCTCACGTGCCTCTCCCCCAAGAGTGATCGACCTTGTGCACCAGGTGGGTTTCTTCGCTCCCACTGCACCACCACCAGCAGATCGAACCTAGTCCCCCACACCCATATCAGTGTCCCCTTTGGTCTCTGATTTCTCTTCGTTGGGCAGTATTCTTTATTTTTTTTCCCAAAATTGTATGATTGTTGTGCTGAAATTTCATGAGCACCACTGCCACCAGATCAAAACTAGTCCGCCACACCCATATCGGCGTTCCTTTGGTCTCTGATATCTCTTCGTTGGCCTGTATTTGTTTCAATATTTTTTCCGAAATTGTATGATTGTTGTGCAGAAGTTTTATGCCCCTGACTATATTGGATCAATTTGCATTTCATCTCTATTGGAAATATTTGTGCTTTTGGATTCAGATATTCTCTACCTAGTTTGATTTGGTATAGATCTGATTCTAGCAAATACATAGCGTCGGCTTATGTAGCCTTAACAGGCGTGAGTAGTAGGGATTAAGTTTGTCTTGTTTCATATGTTTTGTTTTGTTTTTTTTTTTTTTTTTTTTTTTCCTTCGCAAACTAGGTGGAGTGGGGATTTGAACTCGGGCACACCTGCTCGTGGAGCTGGTTGCTCTATCAACTAGGCCAGTAATGGCCTCTTGTTTCGTATGCGAGCTTTTATGTTTTTTATACACAAGTGCATAAACCCTTTTGTGTATTCGATGAATGTTGGGATTCCAATCGATTATGTTTTTTTTTTTCCTTCTGAAGGTTATTCTGATATTGGAGCGCCTTTTAAGGAGGTCAGAATTCAGAGCAGATACTGTAATTGGGGCAAGGATGTCTGAGGTGTCTACTTAAACTTGAATACATTCACATTCCCTTTTCATGCACTCAGATCCTCACCTATAATCTCCTCTGCTGTGCTGATGGTTTTTCAACACATTACATCTGCTTTTCAACTATGATTTTTCAACTTATTACATCTGTTTCTCAACGCAATAAAAATAAGTAGATGTAAATATGTTGAAAACAGGTGTAATTGTGTTGAAAAACCCTATGGCACCACTACAGCATAGGAGATTACAGCAGAAGATCGGGGCTTACTTTTTCTTACTTATATTAATGTTCGTACATTTATTTTAATGATAAGCGCTATTATCTTATTGTGGTTGTCTTCACGTGTTGATGTTAGTGTTGTTCAAATAATGACAGTTTGGATATGCTCATCTAAAGGAAGAAATTGGTCGTGATGTCATAGAAACATTGACAGAGATTGTTTGGTATGATGACAAACCTTTATTTCTCTCTTTTATGAAGGAGCTATTTCAAAGAGAAGTACCAAAAACAGAAGAAGTTAGAAAGAAGGAATCATTTGATTATCAAGCTAAATATTGCCCACCAATAATTTTGCGTCACATTTGTCAGTTTGGCATAATAGGTTGTGCCATTGCTTTTCTCAGAGGGGAGACTGGTTTCACCGCTGATCTCAATATTCCCTTTAACAATGGATTATATCCATTGCATTTAGCAGCTAATAGTTTATCATATGAAATGATTGCGACATTACTTTGCCATGGAGCTCGGACTGATGTCAGAACCATAGAGGGTGAATTTAGGGGCGACTTGTTTCCTCTCAACGTATCACTTGAAACAGTAAGGTAGAAGACAGATATTATAATATAAAATTATTCTTTCTTATCAAGGTTTAATACATCATTCTTAACTACTTAATTCTTTCCCCTTTTTCTTGATTGGATTTTTAATGTGGTTGATGCAGTTATCATCGATCCTTGATTGATTGGACCCCAAAACAATCTATCTTCAAGTTGATCGTTGTTCTTTGTCTGCCTCAAATGGTTTGTTTAGACAAAATTTATGTGTATTACAAATAGTGTTTACTTTCTATACATTTGAATGGGTTGAGAGGTCTGATCTTTTTTTTTTTTTTTTTCCTTTCTGTTTGTTGCTTATTATGGTTAAATATGGCAGAAGGTACTATTAGAAATTAATAGGTTGCTGGCATGGAACACAAAGGAGGTTGATAAAATATTTAGTCATTATGCTATGGAGGGAGAACTTATTGAGATGGCTACTCTACTGATGGTTGCTCGAGAAAAGTTAATCCCTTTGAGCATGTCAATACGCAAAAGCATCATTGAAGAGATTGTAGGACTAACTGAAGATGAAATCAAATTGATCGGAAGTCACAAGAATGATAAGTTGGTTGAAGAGATTGTAGGACTAACTCAAGATGAAAGCAAGTTGCTCGGAATTAATAAGATTGGTAAGTTGGTTCGGTCGCTTAACGATATTAAGGCAGCGATGACACGGGGAATACTGTTGCTCGAAGTGTTTGAGAAGGCTGGTGTTGCTCTTGAAAAATACAGGCGGTTAATACAAAGTGAAGTAAGTAGTTGTGATCCGTGTTTTTTATGGTTTTTGTGCTTGTTTCTTGCGATTTATTGTAATTCTCATATTGTTTGCAACATGCATAGAATTAAACTTTTTTTCTTTTCTGCCAGAAATTGTGTAGAGATTTATTTGGTTATGATATTTATACCTATTAAAAATTACACTGACCCATGTGGTTTGCCTCTGTCACCCAGATAGAACTTGGCAATGTTTTTGAAAGTCACACCTCCCGTTAGCTTTTCCACATTAAAAATGTGTGAAATGTCTAAATTGCCCTAATTTTTTAATGCTCTTTTATTAAAAAAAAAATAGAGAAACCAAAAGACCACTTTGCCCCGGTACACACAAATAAATATTGTACTCTGCAAATAAGAACAAAATCTGGAGCAAAAATAATAGAATTTTATTAATTTGAAAAAATTGGAGTACAATCCTCTGTAATATTCTTTACAAAGAATAAGGCTTTCTGATTCGATCTCCTTTATTGGTATTCAAGGGCTATACGAGCTTGATCTTGAATCACCGTGGAATTTGGATGAAGAACGGCACGATTTAATGTGCTTGTTGTTGATCACAGTGGAATTTGATAAAGAACGGCACGATTTGATGTGCTTGTTGCTCTTCGTCTTCAAGTTTGGGTATTGGGAGTGAATGTTGGTAGAGCTTCTGGATTTTTGAGTCTCTCAATTTATGGACCTTCTGGATTTCTGAGGCTCTCAATTTATGGACCTTCTGGATTTCTGAGGCTCTCAATTTCTGGACCCCTTTCCTTCTTCCTTCATGCCTCTATTTATAGGCTTCTTAGATTTATAGGATGATGACATATGTCCTTTTCTGATAAGGACAAAATTATAACCGGGCCGGTCATATTATGATAATTATCCTTAAAAATAATTATTCCAAATATATTTTATTAAGAATAATTATCCTTTTCATTTAATCATCTGGGTCGGACTAATTAAATAATTTAAGGGGACCAAGCTTGGGCCAATTAAATAACTTAATTAAACATTAAACCTATATTTGATGGGTCAATTTGTCAAAACCAAAGTCCATTAAAATTTTAGTGTTTACAAATTGCCTCCACTTCGAGTCCCATGTTTGATAGGACTTGTCTCTTTTTTCAAGTGAGACTTGAAATATCCAACTTGGTCTTTGAATTATAAAAGGCTTTCCTATCTAACTTTGGATTATAATTTTACTTTCCCATTTGATCTGAGTTATACAAATCCCAGTACAAATAGAAGATATTTTAATATCTATATATACCTATCCATGCTGTAGGGTTAGACATCAATTCCAAAGCCTCTGAAGACTTGTTAGATTGTGGCCTCTGCTCGAACAAATAATTAGTACGATTTTTCTCTCTTTTTTTTTTTTTTTTTTTTTTTCTCCTTTTTTTTTCAAGCATTTTTTTTTCTCTCTCTCTCTCTCTCTCTCTCTTTTTATTTTATTTTTTTTTCACGCATTTTTTTTTTCCTTTTTTCCTTTTTTTACGCTTTTTTTTTTCACCTTTTTTTTTTTTTTTTTCTTTTTTTTTTCAACGGCTTGATTGGGTATAGCAACTTGATTTGTCAACTGTAGCAGAAATGGAATTCCTCTTTTTAGACAACACCGATGGAGTCTTCAAATTTGTTGTCACAATATGGTGGTATTCAAGTGTTTTACAAAGCAAAAGATGACTATCTTAGAAAACGAAAGTAGTCAAAGAGGCCAAGGAACCACATTAAGTGTATCTGACTCACTTCTCAGTCCCAATGCCATTCAAATGCCTGATCCTGAAAATGAACATTGTTCTTTTCATTGGACACGCATTCAATTGCCTGATACTGACAATGAACATTGTTCATCTCTTTAGACATGCATTCAATTATTTGATTCTGACAATGAACATTGTTCATCTCATTGGACACGCAAGGCTACATGCGAACCCACCAACTTTGGTCTTGATCAGATTAACGAAGAATCCATTGGACTTGATATTAAATTCTTAACTTCATTGGGCATGCAAAGCCACTTCTTCCTTTCAGCAATACCTCGAGCAAATTTTTTTTCTTGAACAACAGCTTAATGGAAAGGCAAAGATCTTTTTCCTTTGCAATGACATTTTGCCGACGGATCAACCTTTCAACAATACCTTAGCGGCGAGCATAATTTTTTTTTTCTTCAGCGACACTTCAGTGGAAAGCAAAATTTCTCTTTCATCAATACTTCGGCGGGGAGCAAAATTTTTCTAGGCAGCTACAGTCTGGCGACAAACCAATTTATTTCTTCGCAGCTACACTTTGCCGGATCAAAATTTCTTTTGTAGCTACAATTATGGCGATAGACCAAAATTCTTCTTTTCAACTACACGTTGGTGGCGGGCCAAATTTCTTCCTTGCAGGTATAATTTGGCGACGGACTAAAATTTTCTTTGCAGCTATACTTTGGTGGCGTGCCAAGTTGACAGGTGCGACGAGCACTTTTGATATCGCATGATGAGTGACAACATCTTGATAGCGAGCCAAGTTGAAAATTTATGACGAGCGACAACAATATTTTGACAGTAAGCCAAGTTGATTAATTGTGACTAGTCCTTTTGATATCTCGTGACGAGCACACTTTTCCATTTTGCAACTTTGAGGAGTTTTTTTTTTTTTGGTGGAATGCACTTGGAACAGGCCTTCAAGATGCCTACGTACCTTGAACAGGGATCAAGTTATCACGTAGTTCAATTTTTTTCCGAAAAAAATTTATACTCGTGTCAAACAGTTTTTTTTTTTTTTTTTTTTTTGGGAGAGTTTTAACTTGTATCAAGGAGTTCTTGATTTTTTTTTCAGTTAGACAGTTTATACTGGTGTCAAGGAGTTCTTGATTTTTTTCTTAAGGTAGACAGTTTAAACTCGTGTCAAGGAGTGTCATTTTGTTTTTTTGGGAGACAGTTTAAACTCGTATCAAGAAGTTCTTGATTTTTTTCCAGGTAGACAGTTTAAACTCGTATCAAGGAATGTAATTTTTTTTTTTTTTTTGGGTGACTGTTTAAACTCGTATCTAGGAGTTCTTGATTTTTTTTTAGGTAGACAGTTTATACTTGTGTCAAGGAGTTTTTGATTTTTTTTTTTGTTCTAGGTAGACAGTTTAAACACTTGTCAAAGGAGTGTCATCAACAGTTTAGGCTCGTATCTGGGAGTACTTCAACTTTAATTGTTCTTAAACTTTGCAAGAATAAGACAACAATCCAAGCTTATACTGGAGGGCACGGACTATCTCGTCGTCACTTTGAGAATTTTCTTCTTAGTTTCTTTGACTTAATGCCCCCTGTGATTTTGCACTTTTGGTTGAAGTTATTGTTGTAGTATGGTGCGTTTCTTGATGCAAGTCTTTCGAGATGATGCTTATAATGAAAGATGGATCTATTTCGTCATTCGAGTTAAGAAGTATATTGTCTTCTTCTTCGGACTCACTTTTCTCATCTTCTTGAAGGTTGTTGGATATATCAGGAACATCTTCTCTAGCACTATGATTTTCTATGCTAACCTCTATGTCATGGGCTCTAGTAACAAGCTCTTCAAATGTGCGAGGCTTAATCCCTTGTAGGATGTAAAGAAGCTCCCAGCGCATGCCTTGCATACATGCTTCAACTGCAGAAATTTCAGATAAACAATCCTTGCAGTCAAGACTTGGAGCTCGCCAACGGTTGATGTAGTTAACTACGAGTTCACCCTTCATCTGTTTTGTGTTTGTAAGCTCCAGCATATTTACAGTACGACAAGTGCTATAGAAACGGTTGAGAAATTCTCGTTCCATCTGCTCCCAACTATCAATACCTCCAGCTTTGAGGTCTGTGCACAAATCAAATGCATTCCTTTTGAGGAAACGAACGAATTGTTTGACATGGAGATCTCCGTCTGTACCAGCATTACTACAAGTTTCTATAAAATGTGCGACATGTTGCTTGGGATTGCCTTTTCCGTCAAACTGTTGAAGTTTTGGAGGTTAATATCCAACTGGCATTTTTAAGATGTCAATTCTTTCTGTGCAAGGCATGCGAGCACTTTGAGGGACGCCACTGTATTGTTCTCTTATGTAATTCATTATCATGTCTTGAAGTTGTTGGACAGAAAGTGAGGTGACGGAGGCAGCTTCAATTGTTGGATTGGCGGACATGTCATTTTTATTGTCAATTAGAGTGATCTCTGGCATGGAATTAGAATGAGGAATTCGACATTTGCTTGACTCAGTATTGTCGTCACGCAATTTTAACTTTTTTTGTCAGCGAGACAATTTTCAGATCTTGCTCCTTAAGAAAGTGTTGTAATCTTTCAATTGCACTGGCCATACTCGTCAATTGCTCTTCATACGAGGTAGTACTCATCATCATGACTAGCATAGTGATGGAGTCAGAAAAAATCTTTGGCCTTAGGTGGACCAGCCTTGAACTTGAACTTGTGACTGGAGCAACCTTTGAGGTTGTAGGAACCTTCCTCCTTGCCCCCAGCGAGGTGAAGGCAGTATGAGTTTGAGTTGTTACTCTGGCAGATTTGGCGGAATTGATTCTCATTGCATCGTGCTGTCTTTTGGCAGGAACAGATGCTTTGATCATGCTCCACATCATTGAACTTGCATAGATGTTTGTACCACTTGACGAAGTTGCAACCTTCCTGCCACCTTTTGTGGTGGTAATGATGTTGTCCGTTACGACTGCGATGTCCTTGGGGGTATTCTTGCTCTTCGTCTGAATCTTGTTGGAAGTCATAGAGTCTAACGATGAATTTATTGAGGATTTGATGTAGGAGAAAGAGATGAGAGGCAGAGGATGTCCCACCGAGCGTGCCAAAAATTTGTATACACAAATTTTGTTTTCTGCAAATAAAGAACAAAATAGGGAGCAAAAATAATAGAATTTTATTAATTTGAAAAAATTGGAGTACAATCCTCTGTAATATTCTTTACAAAGAATAAGGTCCTCTAATTCGATCTCCTTTGTTGGTATTCAAGGGCTACACGAGCTTGATCTTGAATCACCGTGGAATTTGGATGAAGAACGGCATGATTTGATGTGCTTGTTGTTGATCACCGTGGAATTGATAAAGAACGGCACAATTTGATGTGCTTGTTGCATTTCGTCTTCAGGTTTGGGTATTGGGAATGAATGTTGACAGAGCTTCTGTATTTCTCTATGGGATTTCGGCACTCTGGATTTCTGAGTCTCTTAATTTATGGATCTTCTGGATTTCTGAGTCTCTGAATTTCTGGACCCTTTTCCTTCTTTCTTCATGCCTCTATTTATAGGCTTCTTGAATAGGATGATGACATGTATTCTTTCCTGATAAGAACAAAATTATAACTGGCCGGGCCGGTCATATTATGATAATTATCCTTAAAAATAATTATTCCAAATATATTTTATTAGGAATAAATATCTTTTTCATTTAATCATCTGCGCCGGACTAATTAAATAATTAAGTGGACCAAGCTTGGGCAATTAAATAACTTAATTAAACATTAAACCCATATTTGATGGGTCAATTTGTCAAAACCACAATCCATTAAAATTTTATTGTCTACAGCCCTTAAAACCAAAAGACCCATTTTTTAATGCTTTTCTCACATTTTCAGCTTACCCCACTACCGACCATTTCCACCACCACCCACCATCGCCACCCACCACCACCTGCCCCTTCTTTTTCTCTCTCCCCACTCACCACCGCAACCTTCACCCCACTACCACCATTAAAACAAGCTTCGCATCAATCACGTACCAACCCAAACCCCAACTCAGTTGAGTCCAACTCGTCCGCCATTGAAGCTTTGCTCAACCTCGAAACCGAGGCAGACAAAAACACCCCTATAAACCTCAGTTAGGTCTCTCTCTCCTCCACCACCGCAAACACCCCTATACACCTTAGTTAGGTCTCTCTCTCCTCCACCACCACAATCACCCCTATACACCTTAGTTAGGTCTCTCTCTCCTCCACCACCACAATCAGCTGTCACCATCCCTCTATACACATTTCAATTGGGACACTCTCTCCTCCACCCTTCCTCTCTCTCTCACTCTCTTTTTCAATTGTCCACCTCCACCACTCCAACCGCCCACCTCCATCACTCCCTTTGCCATACTCCACCACACTAACCACCCAACCACTACACACCTTTGAAACCCTAGCCTATACCACTATTGACAACTCAATTACTTAGAATCTGTGATGTGGCCTGAGTTTGGTTCTGGGGTCGCAACTATACCCTGTTTAGTACCCTCTTGTAGCCCGATACATAATGAGCGTTTAGGGTTTGGAGTGGGATATAGATAGACACTGAAAATCGTAGAACATAGAGCGAGAGCTAGGGTTTGGGGGTTGAGACTTGAACCTACCAGATTTTTGCATAGTGAATACTTTCGCCGGAACTTCATCGTGGATGTAGGCTTTGGCGAGCCACATCTACCGTATTTCATGATTATTGCTTGGTTGTGATTGGTTTATGGTTTTGATGGTGAAGATGGCGTCAATTTTTGGAGAATTTTCGTTTCTTTCGTGTTTTGGTTGTGATTGGTTCAAGGTTTTGATGGTGAAGATGGTGTCATTTTGAGAGAACTTTTTGTTTCTTGATAAGGGAAGGCATAGGGAGGTTTTAGAGAAGGTGTTTGGTGGAATGAAATTGATGAAATTGCATGACTTGCCTTCATTGGTTCATTAGTTATTTGTTTTGTCAGTGAAGGGGTTATATGGGGCCATCTTGAATGGTGAAGACTTCAATTGGGGGTGATTGAGGGTGGTCTGGACCTTGATGGTTCGACCATGGAGTAGTGGTTGCAGAGGATTGCAATGCATGTGTTTTAGAGAGAGAAGGAAGAGAAGAAAGAAGAGGTGGTGGGTGGGGGTGGGGGTGGGGGTGGGGGTGGGGGTGGGGGTGGTGGTGGTGGCAGCATTGTGGGTAGGTGGTTGAGATGAAGAGGTTATTTTGGACATTTAAAATTAGTTAGAATGGGTTAATTGGTAATTTTACTATTCAAAATGTCACTTCACAAGTAAAAGGGCATTCAGGTCATTTTACCATGTGCCAGAGCGTCCATGGAGTGTCTTTGTTTAATGGAGCGAACCTGAGGAGGTGTCACTATGAAAGAACTGGGTGTCAAAGAGGCAAACCACAGGGGTGTTGTGAATGCTAGTTGTTTTTCCTTTTGAATGAAAATGGTCGTCTTTCAACTCGTATTACTACCAGTTTCCTCATGTTTTAAGTTTTGACCCAACACTTCCACAAAGTTACTCCCTTAATGTTTTCTTATAGATGCCAAAAGAAAAGGTGGCCAACGACATTAAGGCGCTGCTTGAGAGAGCTGGGTTTGTTATAAACGACAAAGATGTTGATTTAAGTGACATTGACTGGTTTGGCACCTAATTACTTTGTTCAGTTGATCAGTGAAAATTTTGTATCTTCTTATCTCTCTTTCTTTAGGTTATTTGATTGTGAAAAAGCTTTAGTATTCTAATGCATGTTTATTTTTTCGTGACATTAAAATGCTGTAGTGAAAGTGAAAGTATCAAAGAGGCAACGGAAGAATTAGGTGATTGGTTGATTTCCACTTCAAGTGACTCATGCTTCAAAGGAATTTTCCAGAAAAAATCCATTAAACTAGGCTGATTTTGTTATGTTTTTGTTTTACACAGAAGAGAGTTTAACATTGAGGTCTTATTCAAAGGATCTCTGCATGCCACCTCCCTCACTGTCTAACAGTTTTTCCAAGGAAAAGGTAAGAGACATAGACAGTAGTTTTTCCTTGCTGATGTTTTTCTCATTAGGGATGGTAAATTCTTGCTTCACATATTTTGAAGTATAAATTTTAATCTTTTGGTGTGCTGTTAAGAATTATATTCATGAATACTTGAGCAACTCATATCTCTCCCATCCACTTATCATTCCTCCCGACCTAGCAAACACGCATTTTTGGTGTTTCTCGTATCCGAGGATGATGCTACTATATTATCAGCTTTTTTATGTGTCATTTGAGGATCACCTACGTGTGGTTGGTTATATGATGCATTGATTCTACCTACATAGGATCTTAGCACTGGAGGTTTGGAAAACGAGGGTGATGATCTCGTGGGTTATCTTTTTCTTACCTATTCCCAAAAACTATGGTTGGGTTGATAGGAAAAATTCCAAATGTTTTTGCTGCCTCTCTCTACTCTTCTTCTTCCCTCTATTCATCTTATATTGCATTACTCTCTTTCTTCCCGTATGTTCAGTTGGGTTTTGGAAGTGTCTTATGTGGCGATTTGCGTAGTCCTGACTATTCCAGGCTCTCATTACAATATTATTGAATCTACTCTTTACTTTCATACTTTTACGTACATTTCTGCATCCTCTATTATATCCCTTTTTTTTAGTCAATCAAAGCATGAAGCTTTCAAGGCTAGAGGTGCATTTTACATAATCTCAGATTTGGTCTTCTGTCTATTAAGAGCTGTTCCACGATATTCTCCACAATTTTTTATTTATACCCCAAAAAATTGTTCTTAATAATCTGAATCTAGGTAACCTTAGGGTTGCATTACTTCATTAGTGCAGAAAAGTTTTTGTATCTACAATCTAGCAATCGATCACTTCCCAAACCAAGCTAATTCTGACCCCTTTCATCTATAAACCATATACATGTTCCTCTACCTTTCAGAGCGATGGTTCTATATGATTTTGTTGATAAAAGAACACCATAAAATTATTTGTGGGTAGCATATTACGAAGTCTACTAAGTCAGCCAACATCATGAGTTCAATATTGATAGGTCTTTAAATGCGTCATCCCACCACGGGAAATCAAACGAAATGCTTGCGTTTTTAGAGGCAAGATCTCCTCCCTGAACCATGTTTTGGACCAAATCTGTTCCTCCATCATAGAGAGGCTCATGGGTGGGTTTTTGAAAGATTCACCCCATTCTTGTCGCGTTTTGCTCAGCTGGGGTCTCTCCCCCTCCTCCTGCCATCCTCCAAGGAAGCCTCTTGACTTGAGGTCAGCTTGAGAATTGTTACTGGGCTTGGGTTTGTTTTGGGCTTTTTTTGTATCCTATTCCCATTTGTAAGTGATGGTTTCTAATTGGGCCTGGTCTCTCACTTAGAGATCTTATCCGGTGGACTTGTCCACTTTTTACATTTTATTGTTTTATACAATTTGCTTGAAATTCTGGAAAAAATATATATATAACTTCTACAATTAGCAAATTTCTTTGGCTATATATGAGCACCAAACGTCGTGTGTTTTGTTTTCCTTCCAACCTCATTTAATCCAAAGGTTCTATGTGTGATAGCCTATTGACGACAATTCAATGTCAAACATTAAATGAGTAAGACTCACTTTTAGAGAAATTTGTGTACCCTCGTGTACTTGTAATTCTTGTTTCATTAAATGTATTTTTTTTTCTTTTTCTTTTTTGGGATAAAGAAGTAGCAAATCGGGGATGTTGAGGATGTCTTTCTTCCATTTTTCTTTATTTCAACAATATTACCAATTAAGTCCTTACAACAGTAAAATGCCAAACATTCAATGAGTTGAGACTCACTTTTAGAGAAACATTGGTACCTTGGTATGTGTACTTGTTTGTTTCATTAATTTTTTTTTTTTTTTTCTTGGATAAAGTAACAAAGCGGGAATGTTGATCAACATTAAAAGTGTGCCTGGTATCCAAAAAAGCCCCAGGCTTATCAAGGCTCAGTTAAGAGTGCTTCGACCTACTAAAGGCCAAGCCCAAGGCCAAGGCCAAGGCCAAGCCCAAGCCCAAGCCCTCAAACTCACGCATTTTACGTCCTTTATTTAATGACCATTAAATTAAAATGTTTTGTATAATATCACGATCATATTTAATGGATCATATAGTTCGACTTTATGATATATTTGACAGATTCATAGATTTATGGTTGACTTATTACATTAATTGCATTCATTTTGATTCTAAATAAACATGATTATATATGTTTAATGTTTACTTGATCATAGCTTTTTTATTGTTTTACGTTTGTAATCACATCTAATTTACTAAATGTATAAGCCTAAGAAATGATTTATGCAACATCAATTTACCGGGTCCTCTTAGTTTGATAGGTTAAAAATCCCATTTTTAGAGAATTATTATTTTGATATGATTTATGCACATCATTGAAATGTTGGAAAGATTTCTTTATCTTGATATTGATTAGTATGTGTTGCATGGTTCAATAATCTGTTAAAAAATTAATCTTTAATATGCATCATTATCATACATGCCCCTTTGATCAGTCTCTTGCCTTGTATTGTGTCTTGCACTTGGGCTCCAGGAGACCGCTTTAGTGTATGCCTCGAGCCTTAACTAGTAAGCTTTTTGTGTATTTTTTAACAGAGTTCAGTCACATGTAAAACTAGAAGAACATTCATCGAATATGGGCCCCTTGTTTTTATGCCTTCGTCACGGTCATACGTTACATTCCCGCTCATGGATAAAAAAAAGACGCTTACTATTCCTATAGGTTTTAGATATTTGAGAACTGTTAGACCCCCAGCAATGAGAGTATCTGCGGCATATCTTCTATCAAGAAATCAGTTTGCCTCCTTGGCATTAGCAATCAAGAAGAGGTTAACTTGCATATGATTGGCAAATAAGGTACTGATTGCTTTTCCTGCCTTCTGAATTTTTTTCTATTTCATTTCAAATTTATTCCTTGAGTTTCATTTGTTGATCAATATTGTATGATCGACAACTCAACTTTGGCATAACCTCCTGCCCTATCTTCAGCTTTTACAAATAATTACTTCTACAATATGTTTTGATTTTGATTTGATTAGTGTGCATATGGAATTTTTGGTGATTGAATTATTACCTGTTTGGATTGGATCTTTATGGATAATGAAAATTATACTGTCTTACTGTAGTCAATGGACTCATGATTGCACTGGGGGTTGACTTGGCCACTGTTTGAATTGTAAATGGAAGCTGTTATAAGGGCACTAAAGGCCGTGCATTTTCTTAAGAAGCAAAGCTGGGAGGCTTATGCAAGTGACAAATAAAATACAGAAGATCCTTCTTCTACTCATGATGCCGTGTTTTATAGTTGTTATTTTATTATTTATTTGAGTTCTAATCTCTCAACTTTGGCTGAGAGGAAGCCTTAGTAAGTTAGTCTTGTAACTCTATGTTTTCAATTGTTAAATTTGTTTGATGTTCATACTAACTCAATAAAATATTTAAACAATTTTAAATGCATGTTCCGGTTTGTTAATTTCATGTACTTAACCGAAGACTAAAATTGATTGTATTTGGAGTCTAGCATAAAGGTTACTTGTATATGATCATGAATTAGTAATTTTCATTGGACTATTTGAGAAATAAAATAATAAATTATGACATTTTATGCCCAAGGATGAATAATTAAAATTTATTTATTTTTCTTCAATTAATTATTTATGATTTATGACGCAGATAATAAATAGGAGGAACAAATTCTGACATTTTATGTACTAAAAAGTAATAAATTATGACATTTTATGCCTAACTGAGGATGAATAATTGAAATTTATGTATTTTTTCTTCAATTAATTATTTATGATTTATGACCACGATAATAAATAGGAGGAACAAATTCTGACATTTTATTCTAAAAAATAATAAATTATGACATTTTATGCCTTTTCATATCTTTTTATTAATTGTATTGTTACTTTAGCTTGAATCACTCAATTTTTGGTAGAATTTGTTAAGTATTAATTTTAGAATTAGGATGTCCCAATATTATCATACAATTTATTATCACACCCGTAAAGCGCACGTGCAATGTTAGTGGAGTGTAATATAATTCAAAAAAAAAAAAAGTAAGGAAAATACAATATTGTAGTTAATAATATTTTAATTTTTTTTAATAAGATTATATAATTATATATTTGATTAGTACCCTAAATTGTATTAAAATAAAAATCTATTATTAATATTTATTTTGACAAATTAAGGAGTGTCAATGTTTACAATAGTAAGGGTATAAGCTTAAAAATGGAATTAGTGTGAGTTTATTATAGGTTTAAATCATTTGGGTTTGCGTATGCCTATTAAGAATCCTATTGTATTACCAACGGGCCTAGTAGTATTGGCCCTTACTTTTCAGAGGAATGTCAAGAATTCTAGCCTCCAAAGAGGCATCTAGGGGTGCACACAGTCCGGTTTGGACCAGATTGATTGTATTTTGAGACTAAACTATTTATAACGGTTCCACTATTTTGAACCAAACCAAACCAAACTGCGAAAAATCGGTTCGGCTCGGTTCGGTTTGTCGGTTTCGGTAGATTTTCTTTTTATTTTATTTTAATTTAAAGGGGGCAAAGTTTTTTTTTTTTTTCCTAAAAAATCAACCAACATTGATATAATACGCAAAAAAAAAAAAAAAAAAAAAAAAAAAAAAAAAAAAAAAAGAAGAATTTTAAGAAGAAATAAAGGAAAGAAAATTGAGATATATTTGAAAAGAGAAATTTGACTTTTTTTTAAAGAAATTAAGAAATTTAAAGAATAAAAGAAATAAATGGAGCACGTGAGAACTTTACTTGATTTAGGTTTAGGATATGATTTTATGTATATACATAAAAAATAACATAATAACGGTTCGGTTCGAGCTGGTCTGGTCCAGCACGACCCTAAACCAAGACCGGACCGAAAAATTACGGTTCCATAATTTTGGGCCCAGGACTGGACCAAACCGCTATACAATTAGCCCAAACGGCTATACAACTAGCCCAAACCGCCCAATTCAGTACGGCCCGGTCCGGTTTTCGGTTTACTGGATTTTTTGAACACCCCTAGTGGCATGCGTGTGTGAGTATCAATTATGAAAAAAAAAAAAAAAAAAACCTATTGTATTAAAGTAAGGAATCATTAATATGAAACTTAACTATTTATAATGAAATTTATTATACTCGATTTACAAATTTTTACCCTAAAAAAATACATTTTTTTCCTAAAAAAATACATTTTTTTTTATATATAATATATTAATAACAAATTAATAAATTAATCGAAAGGAAAATCAATTGAATCATACTTCAGGAAAAATCAGTACAATCATATATATATATGATTAAGGGTAGTAAAGAAATATTAGAAGGGTAATTTTGGGAATAAAGGGTTTAAAATGGTTATGTACCATGCACATGACCAACTAATATCTATTTTTTTTCGGAATTCTGACCCAAATTAAATTATGGGGGTGTAATTCGCACAAATTTAAAACTATAGGGATGTTTTTCAGACTTTTCCCCTTATATAATATAAAGCAGGGAAAAGTGCAAAAAATCCTTCTGTACTATTGGGGTTTTGCAACTAATTCCGTTGAACTACATAAAACCTCCTTGAACTAACAAATTGTTGCATTTAACCCCTTTGAACTAACAATAGAATGCTGGAAAAGCCAAAAGACAACATTACCCTCAATTATCCACAGCGACCTGTCTTTGGGCCTCATTTTTCTGCACAGAGAGAGAGAGAGAGAGAATCAGAGCCGAAGCTGATGATACAACCAAAGCCAAACTATATATATATATATATATTCCAATTGGTGTTGGCTTTGTGATGGGGATGAGTGGTGATTGTGGAGGTTTTGGGTGGAGGAGCGGTGATGCTTTTGGTTGAACGTGGTGGTGGTTATGGGTTTGATGTGTCATTTGGTTACTGGAATAGGGTGATGTGCGGTGGTGGTTTTGGGTTTGCAGAGATGGGTGGCGGGATTGGGGTGGTAGTCGGTTTGTGTACTGGTTTTAATGGTGTGCCGTTGAGATGCCGATGGAGATGGTAGTGATGGTGGTGGGTTTGATTTGGTTTAACGGTGTGTTTTGGCATGAGTTCAGGGGGGTTTCGTGGTGGTTATGTTGGTGGTCGTAGACGGTGGTGGTGGTGGTTAGAGGACAATTTGGTATTTATATATATGGAAGGGCATTATTGGCCGAAAAACTCAGTTTGTTTGTCGCGTGATTCTCACGTGCTCATTACTGGACGGCTGGTCACCGGATGGGGTGATCTGTAACTTTTTTGCATAGTTCAGGGGGGTTTCTTGCATTTTTGGTAGTTCAAGGGGTTAGTTGTAGATTTTCCCATAGTACAGGGGTTTTTCGTGCACTTTTCCTTATAAAGTGGAATGCAATGCTTTTAATTTCATTCACAAAGTAATTTTAAAGATGGAATATTCATTCCCCTCCTTTCTCGGAATGGTCATTTCATCAAAATCATTCAATTTCCAACAAGAGGATCACTTAAAAAAAATACGGAGCAAAAATAATAGGGCGAATTGCAAAAAAAACCCTTTGACTATTACCCATTTGTAAGAAATTCCCCTTGTAAATGTTTTTGGCAAGAAATCCCCTCAACTATGAGGAGGGGGTGATTTAACTTACCTCCATTTAACAATTTTGTGAGGCAATTTTTTCTGACCAAGTTACCCTTACATATCCAAGTTCAAAGACAATGGCTGGAGAAGCACTCAAGCTGTCCTCTTTGCAGGGTTAAGGTCAGTGCTGATGACCTTACATACTTCGTGTACTCAACCATGGAGCTTTTTGTCCAGAGAGAGGAAGACCATCATGGTTCTTCGAGATTTAGCATTGGAAGCAGCTTTAGGAAATCTGAAAAGGGTAAGAAAGAAGAAGAATTTCCCATCCAAGTAGATTGTGACAGCGACGAAAATGAAAAAGCTCTACATAAGTTCAATCACAGGATCATTATGTCTGATGTGGTCCTCAAGAATAGATGGAGCAGTGTGAGTTCTTCTGACCTCATGCGCCTGAATTCGGAGATCCTTAATGCTATGTCAAGCAATAGATTCTCTTCCTTGGATGTAAATAATGATCAATCCGCGACACCAAGTGGGGTTGAAGACACAGAAATTTTGAAGATCAAGGAGGAGATGGAGAGGGAGAGAGTGTTTGAGAGCAGGGTCAATAAAATCAACCAAACTGATTCAGATCTTCCTAACACTTTGGAGTCCAAAATATATCAAAGTCAAACATCAAGATTTTTGAATCCCAACACACACAGATCGATGTCAGATATAACAGTTCATCCAAGATTCACAGAGTTGGGCATGAGAAATAGTAATAGAGACACTTCTCTTCCTGAAAATAATGTCAAGGAGGAAAGATTGAGGAGGCTTTGGTTGCCAATTGCAAGAAGAACAGTTCAATGGTTTGCCAATAGAGAGGAAAGGACACAACAGTCTCGCAACACAAGACACTCGATGTGTAATTTTGTTCTGTGCATCTCAAGCTTGTTTCAAACTCATCATATATTGATCACATTTCCATGATTTCACTTTAACTTTTGTAATAAATAGATTTAGTAGAAACACTATGCAAGTTTTACGCACAAAATCCATAATGTTATATTGAAGTTCTTAAATTTCATAAATTTGTTATTGTGATCCAAGTCAACAAACCCTTTGTGTTACTATTTGATACTATTTTTTTTTTTGGTTTCCTGTTTCATGACAGCGACGAAAATGAACACACAGGAATCTCCAGTATGCTGCTCGCAAAAAACTCCGAAGCACTCTCTCTCTCTAAGGGATATATTGTTTTTTAAGCTAGGTCATTGAACTGCGCTCCATTTGGTTGATTAATGGGTGGTAAATATATATTGCTCTCTTTTTTTCTTACAGTTATTAGAAAGTGTGGGAGATTTTTTTATTTTTTTGGTGAAGACCCAACTGAAGCTACTAACCCAAATGTAAGGGTAATTTGTTCAAAAAAAATTGTCTCACAAGATTGTTAAACGGAGATAAGTTAAATCACCCATTTCTCATAGTTTAGGGGAGTTTCTTGCCAAAAACATTCACAATGGGGTTTCTTACAAATGGGTAATAGTCAAGCGTTTTTTTTGTAATTCGCCCAAAATAACATTAAAAATGGCTTTACTTAGGAGATCCAACAAAAGTCAATTTTTTCTTGATATTTCTTCTTTAATTTCCAAATATACATCGAAAATATATATTTACGCATAGTTATATATATATAAATAGTTTAATTTTCCTTCTTAAGTCATGACCAAACGAATGAATGGGTTCTCATTTCATTCCCTAGTTAATTTTATTCCTACCTTATTTCATTTCTTCATACCAAACTAGCCCTTAAACTAAGACAAATTAATAATTTTAAAAGAAAACAATACATTAATTACATATCACCTTGAAAACTTATAATTCATTAATTCTAAATTTGGACATTGAATAATTTTTTTTTTTTTTTTTTCATAAGAGCTATAGAAGTGACAAACCATGACCACCCATTAATATTGACTTGACCATTGTGTAATAATGGACACTTGATCTGGGCAAGGGTCCGCAACTCGCCGGAGATGATGGGTCACTGAAGCTCTTCATCTTTTTCTTGACGGAATTCAAAGTTCTTCATCTTCACCGTCTGGTTTGGTCACTACCATTGGGTCGTTGATGCTCGGTCTTCTCACCGGAACAAATGGTCCATGCCTTATATGTATAACAAATTTATATAGGTTTTGGAACAGGTAATGAGAGAGATTATTAGACCAGCTTCAAGGATTGAAAAATCAATCTCACCAAGTTGGTTTGTTAATATTCTTCCATTTTTATCTCTAAGCACTAAGATTTCAATTATGGGTTGAGCCCCATTAGAATAAAATGTTTACAGAATCCACAGAGAACTGACGCTAATATTTAGTAATAGTAATGAAATAAAAACAACGAAGTGTTTGTGGATGCAAGTGATACCCATTGGATAAAACATTCCTAAATTTTTGGAAACCCAATCACAAACAATAAAAAATTTACTTTTCAAGAAACTTTGGGGAGACCACACAATTTTTGTCACTGCTTTTTTAAATATTACGTACTTGATAACATTCTCGGGATCCAACCCTTAATAAAATTTCTACAATTTGCACAATTCTTGCAATCCTCATGGTCAAGAGCATCACATTCCAAATAATTAAGGCGGCATTTTGTAGGGCCAGAATCTTTTTTGCAATCCCTCTTGCAGTATGATTTCCAGCACGTCAACTGACAGCAAATACCATGTTGCCCCTAAAACCTAGAAAAAATAGCAGAAAAAAGTGTAATTGTCGTTATGTAGAGTTTATAATATATAGAAAACACAAACTTACTAGGATTACTTTGATACTAATGAAATAGAGCCCATTTAAATTTCCCCCTATTATTTATTTTTGTTTTCAATGCCAGGTGAACAACAAAAGATCACGCCTAATAACTTTTTCTTTTCAGGAATTTAAAATACATTTTAAAAAGTAAAGTAAAAGTACCTGACTTCAGATTTGTCTAAAGACAATTCCTCATCAGACGATTCGCCATTGGATGATTCGTTATCCGATGATTCTTCAGCTTCAATTCCTTTTTTCGGATAGATCTCATGTCGTGGAATCTTCAATTGATCACACATGACTTGTGTCTCAAAACCTTTTTTGCCTTTCGGAAAACTTTGTCCCAACTCCCAAGGTCAAACGTGAAGCTATATACGCAACTCTATTAGCTATAGCATTTCCTTGAGGATGTAGAAACTTTATGTGATAAACATCAAAAATTTTCAACATATCAATAATTTTTGTGCAAAACAATAGTTTTTATATCAATATAATTGAAAACAGAAATCTAAATTTAAAGAATAAACCCAAACTTTATACAAAAAGCGTAATTAAAAAGTTCTAAATACTCCACTGGTATACGCTTCTCATCATTTAGCACCTTGACAATTGTTTTATGGTCAATCTCAAATATCATTTCCTTTACTTCTGATTTACTTCGGAGAATTTCATCAATCCCATGATGCACTCCAAGTAAGAATACTTCATCTCTAGACGTTGCATCAGGAAGTGGCTTATGGAAATTTCCAAAATCATTCCCTTACAATCTCGGAATACTTCTCCACAAGAAGCTTCTTTAGTCCCACCAAGATTTTCCTTAAAAAACCCAGAAACGTTTAACTTGTGCCAACCAACAGGTGGCGGACGCCAAATACATGCAAATATACCGTCTCTTGGTAAATTAATCGGACAACTCTCCAAAACATAAATTTGCTGCTTAAACATGTAATTATAAACCAGTTAATCATATTGTATAGGAATGCTTTGTACAAGGAATGAACACTTCTATTACTACAAAGAATGCTTTGTACAAGGCTAGCTCAAGTTCTCTATTTAGCTCTCAACTCACACTCTAGAACTTGGTTACAAATGACACTTGGCTCTCAACTCACACTCTAGGACTTGTTGGTTACATATGACACTAGTCATCTATTTATAGGCCTCCTCACCACTCTCTTTAACTTCATACATATTTTACGTATTTACAAACTCAACAAAATTCCCTACTCATCTAGAATCTTCTCTTCTCTACTTCTCTACATATTTACATGTTCTCCAATATTCTAAAATCTTCCGACTCTCTCTACAATACTGTATATTTCTCTACACTAAGCTGGAATACACTAGCACTCCACTTGCCTCATGCCACGTAGTAGTCATCATGTAAAGTCCTTACCGCTCGGGTGTCGCCTGTGTGGCATAGCCACGCTGTACAATTAGGCAGGGTGTATACCTAAACACAATGCAAAAATTCAAACTGAATTAGATCTTCAAAACCATTTCAAACTCTGGGCAATATGCTTTCATTACGGACTTTTTTCTTCATTTTTTAAAACTAGCAACGACAAGCATGGAACTGATGTTCTGGAATTATAGCAATAAATGATTGCAATTTGACCTTTCCTTATCCTCTCCATGAATGATATTAATATCATCATTCGGAACAAATTCATTTGCTCTTTTTCTTCTTTTATTTCTTTCTAATGTCCTCTTTTATTTCTTCTTTAACACTCACTGGGCATCTTATGCATGCACTCACATTCCGGTGGTTTTTCTGAGACTGTTTCGGATTGCAGCACATAAACTTCCTGCAATAGCCGATTGCTATTGCCTTCATAACAGGAGACTGATTTTGTATAACACAATTCATAAGACCATCCCAAGATTGGAAGGTGGAGGACTCTGTTGAGCTCCAGGGGATGTTGTACAATCAGTAGATAGGTAGTGGGGAGGAGGATGAGTGGGCATGGGAGTGGCTTCTCATTGGAGATTTGACTTTTGAGGTTCGCCCTTTATAAGTGATTATTGAACATGGAGGGATTGCCTTTTTCCTTGGAAGGCAATTTGGCACCCCAAAACCCCTTTAAAGGTAGCTTTCTTTGGGTGAAGAACTTTATGGAGGATTCTGACAATAGATAACCTCCGGAGAAGGCGTAGGCTGCGTATCTGATCGTCAATTGGTGTTGTATGCGTAAGATGGATGAGAGTCGGTAAACCATCTACTCTTGCATTGCCCGGTGACTGGAATGGGGCTTTATTCTTGTCTGCTTTGGTGTTTCTTTGGTCATGCCTAATTCTACCTAAAGCATGCTTACAGCTTGGAGAGGATGTACAATGAGGAAGCAAACTCGAGATGCTTGGATGGTTGCTCCTCTTTGCTCATGGTCGGGTATTTGGGAGAGAGAGTAATAGGGGATCTTTTGATGGGGAGGAGACTCCTATTTGGGCACTCAAATTCTCTATTCTTATTTTGTTAGTTGTTACTGTAAATGGTTGAAATTATAAATTTGCAGAGGATACGATGATTTTTAAGGATAGTTTGAGGAAATAGCATATTGTTTTGGCTGTGAGATTTGTATTTGGGATGCGTTCAAGCGCTATTCTATGATATGTTAGTTATCACCAAAAAAAAAAAAAAAAAAAATTGAAGAAGAATAAGAAGCAGCAGCATTAGCACTTCAATAATGGATAAGAAATGTAACTTCAACTAATATTTGCATTGCTTTCTGGTTCAATTTTTTCATAATTGTAAACTGCAACCTCAAATTCATGCTCTTATCATGACCATGACTTGAGTTTTGTTCTCAGTCCAGGTTTGGTCATAACTAATTAAGAATCGAAGATGAATTTTGTGAAAAATGTAAGTACTGTTATGTAACAACTATAGATTGAACATACCAAATCTCCGAATCTCCGAACAAATAATATCCATGTTTTACGTATTCATTTGAATCCCACTAGGATACCTAGATATAAGATTTACAAATTCCCCCCTCCATATTTTTCTTTTTCCTTTTATCTCTTTAAATATGGGGTATCAATCTATAGGATGCTCCTACCCAAATTCAAAATGGATTTTTTTTTTTTTTTTTTTAAAAATGACAAATATTAAAAAAAAAAAAAAAAAAAAAATTGTGCACCATATTACGAGGATAATGCAAATGAACAGAGAAGTAGAGGTTAAAACAATGAAAATATACAACTGCATCAGGCTCTAAGCTCATAAGCTATAAATAGAGCTTTTGGATCACATAACTTGTAACAAAATTATATCATTCGAATGGAAAAGTTATGAAAAATGAGGGAACATGCATCATAAACACACTTACCTGGGCCCTCACCGTTGATTGCATCACCAGCTTCATTAGTAAAAAAGGTATTACTCACAACATCTCTAACTGCATCAGGCTCTAAGTTTATAAACCATTGCCGGCTGTCGCAAGTGTTCCTCATCATCATTTGCGGCTAACAATGCAAGAATTAGTCAGCCAAATCTGATATGACAGATGAAGATGTAATTTCCATTTGAATTTGAACTCCTACAGAATATCCAAATTCAAGCCCAAACCAAATTTAAAGGTAAACCAAAAGTCTTCCACAACACTATGAAGAAAAAAAAAAATACAAAAAATTGTTATATATACTATGCGAAGAACGCAGCAAAGGGCAATCTTATTCAAGTCAAATAATTACATTGATCAAGTGTTGATCATCATCTTTGCAGGGATATGCTGGTCCTTCTTTTAGGAATCGATTGAATGCTCTGTTTTTCTTACCTTCAGCGTGAGGAAGTTGTTTGGAGCACGAGTCCGAATCCGAATTGTTAGTTGGAATATATGATTCGGAATTGGAGTCGGAATAAGCGAAGGTGCGAAGGGAACGAACAGCCATTCGAGAGAGGAGCTTCGAGTGGCTTGTGATGAGATCTCTTGATGCCATTCTTACATCTAGGGTTTTGGGGAGAGAGAGAGAGAGAGAGAGAGACGAGCGGTAGAGGTTTTTTTAAGGCTTAGTTTAGTTACAGAGAAGAGAAAATAAAAGATACTACGTAGCAATAATTTTTATTGTAATTGAAAAAACAAATACTAATTAAATTATTATGTACTATTTTAAATAAATAAGATATGAGTAGATTAATAATTTTTTTTAAAAATTATTGAGAGGAGTTTTAGAATTATAAAAATATTAGAACAGGATGAATAAGGAGCCTATTCTTTCTTTTATTTATTTATTATTATTTGAACTCATCCAAAAGCAATTAACTTTTTTCCAACATGTCATTTCCTTTCATTCACGATCCCTTCAATTCCCTCCATTCAAACTGATAGGGAAAAATATAAACCTACCCTACTCTCGATAAGATTGATTAGATTTCATTATCAAAGATAATGAAATCTGACGTAGTTCAACAGGTAAGAATAATCTTATTATAACTGGAGGAGGTCAAAAGGATTAAATTATATCCCGACAAATCTGGCAACAAATCTCCTATGATTTCACACAAGCAGGAGATAAGATCAACCATCGACATCGGCGGAACAATTTTGATTCCAATCGACAGCCATAAATAGGGCACCAAGCCATTAAAGAAGGTATGACGTAAAAACTATTATTAATCTCTGCCTTCTTTTTAAACCTCCGTGACTAATTTGATCGTCAGAGAGCTCTTGGCAGGCACTACACCGGTGCCGTCAAGGTTCATCGATCTTCTCCTCTCTTCCTTGCTCCACTCTTCCTTGCAGGAAAACGGTATCGTATCGGACTGCGCGAATTTCAGCCTCAACAGTTGGCGCCGTTTGTGGGAACGACGATTCCCTTGAATCAATTAATTACTCGTTGGGTATATAAGTTTGCAGTCTGGTATGGTTACCGAAGGAACACCGTCGCAGGGATCTGGTCAAAGGGTAGAGTCGGGTGAAAACCTGGACGTCCCAAACGACCAGGCACGGCTTGCAGCGTTGGAACTACAGGTTCAAACTCTGAGTCAGGGTATGAACCAGTTGATCCAGCAAAATGCAACCCCAGTTTAACAAAACTTTCCAGGACAAGATCTCTCAAGTCCAAACGGAGGTAATGGGAATCTTAAAGAGAAGGATAATCATTCCCCCAAAAATGAGATTGAAGTAGAACAAAGCCAGGTCGGAACCCGACTTAGAAAGGTGGTTCACCCATCTCTCCCACGGAGTTCCCGACCTCCTGAAAGCATAGCCTTCTGTCTTAAGAAAAAGACAAAGAAAGTTACCCATATCGACTTGCAGATCAAGGATCTCAAGGGGAAAATGGAAGATGTAATGCAAGCTATGAAAGGGAAAGGTCATGCCACCGTAAATGACCAGGTACAAAGGACCAACCTGCTTTTTAGCCCCGCCGTTATGAAATGTCCACTACCTAGCAAGTTCAGGATGCCCTCGTTCGAAAGCTTCGATGGGACCAAAGATCCCTTCGATCACCTGGAAACTTTTCAAGCTCTTATGCATTTACATACTGTGCCAGATGAAATCATGTGCCAAGCTTTTCCCACTACACTTAAGGGATCAGCGAGAGTTTGGTTCAACAAGTTGAAGCCAGGAACCATCAACACATTTGAAGAATTGAGTAAGCAGTTCGTGAGCCACTTCATTGCAGGTCAGAGGCATAGGAGGCCGGCTACCTACCTGTTTACCGTGGAGCAACAAAAGGAAGAGTCGATTCGGGAATACATCACCCGATTCAACGCAGAGATGTTGCAGGTAGAAGAGGCGGACGACAAGGTAGCTTTAACCGCTTTCATAAGAGGACTCCAAACCTCCAGATTCTTGTTCTCCTTATCAAAAGAACCTCCCACCAGCATGATAGAGTTGCTGGTCAGAGCGTAAAAACACATCAACGCTGAAGACACCATGAGTGCAAGGAAGAAAGGAGAGGACAAGAAGAGGCCAGCCCCTCTCGCAGGGATGAAAATAATACTAAATATAAGAAATCGTTCTTCAGCCAGAGCGATAGCACATATCATGAGAAGGACTCGGATGAGTATACCGACTAGAAATTGTCTCACGGCTGGAATTAGCTTTATCAAGTCATTCATAATAAAGACTGGGGGCATCTTAGTTAATCATTTTAAATGGAGGGTAGCTCCATCACATGTTTTTTTGTTTTTAATAAGCCTTTAGGCAATGATGGTCTTTAATAAAATTCCTTTTAGTTTATACGTGTAATATCCCCGTACTATAAGGGATAATAAATGAGTGTCCCGTAGTATAAGGACCCGGACTGAGTGAATCCTGTAATCCGTATCCCTGTACTATAAGGGATAATAAATGAGTGTCCGACCCGGGCTGAGTGAATCCCGTAATCCGTATCCCCGTACTATAAGGGAATAGTAAATGAGTGTCCTGTATTACAAGGACCCGGGCTGAATGAATCCCGTCATCCATATCCCCGGACTATAAGGATAAGTATCTTGTATTATCAGGACCCGGGCTGAATGAATCCCGTAATCCATATCCCCGTAATATAAGGGAGAATAAATGAATATCCTATATTACAAGGACCCGGGTTGGATGAATCCCGTAATTAATATCCCTCTACAATAAGGGATAGTAAATAAAAATCATTTATTAAAGAAGTGAGCTGAGTAAAACTCGTAAAGTTCAATTCCCTTACTAAAGGGACGAGCTGAGTAAAACTCGTAAAGTTCTATTCCCGTATTAAAGGAGTGAAACTCATACAATTTATTCCCTTACCAAAGGAAGAGTACTGTTCCCTCGGGTGCCAAAAAAAAAATAATAAATAAATAAATAAAATAAAATTTCCTGAGTTACTATTCACGTGAATAGTGCCCGCGGGTACTGTTCACAGGGGTATTTAAAAAAAAAAAAAAAAAATTCCCTTAGTTACTGTTCACATGAATAGTACCCGCGGGTACTGTTCACAGGAGTTGAAAAAAAAATCCTGAGTTACTATTCACGCGAATAGTACCCGCGGGGACTGTTCACAGGGGTTGGAAAAAAAAAAAAAATTATTATTATTATTATTTATTACATTCCCAAAGCTAAACGTGCAAGCTTGGGAATGGGGGGCAACTGATAGGGAAAAATATAAACCTACCCTACCCTCGATAAGATTGATTATATTTCATTATCAAAGATAATGAAATCTGATGTGGTTCAACAGGTAAAAATAATCCTATTATAACTGGAGGAGGTCAAAAGGATTAAATCATATCCCCGACAAATCTGGCAACAAATCTCCCATGATTTCACACAAGCGGGAGATAAGATCAACCATCGACATCGGCGGAACAATTTTGATTCCAATCGACAGCCATAAATAGGGCACCAAGCCATTAAAGAAGGTATGACGTAAAAACTATTATTAATCCCTGCCTTCTTTTTAAAACTCCGTAACTAATTTGATCATCGGAGAGCTCTTGGCAGGCACCACACCGGTGCCGTCAAGGTTCATCGATCTTCTCCTCTCTTCCTTGCAGGAAAACGGTATCGTATCGGACTGCTCGAATTTCAGCCTCAACAGTTGGCGCCGTCTGTGAGAATGACTGTGATACCCCCGGATTTCAGAATGCGGGTTGGCCAGGCCCATGCCTGAATACCCGAGGATATCAAAACAAATTGATAATAAACGAACAAAGGGTACAAAAGAATAAAGAAGAATAAATAAAATGCTGACAAGAAACTAAAATGATAATCTAATAATAAACCTCATAATATATTTCCATTAATTAATAAACTCTTCTGATACAACTGATCCTCCAAAATACAACTCGGGAATCCATATTGTGTGGACCCCTAGAAAATCCAAACTAAACAAATGACAGTAATCTAAAACAGGAAACTGAATCATAAAGGAACTCCTATGTAGCATCGGAAGAATGAAGTAGACTGATCCCTACTCAGCACGAACAACCTCTATTCGTGACGAACACCTGAAAAATAATAGTGGGTCAGGCCCACAAACAAGTTCTACTCTACTACAGTCCAAGCAGAGATCCGATACACGTATACATCCTAGTCAATCCAACAGTAACTAGTAGTCCGTATATATATATATATACACACTAAAGGAACCTCACTAAACTATAGGGTTGTCTCAACCTGAATAGTAGGCAACATGCAAAACGCACATATAGTGGGCATGAGTACCTAGACCTACCAGGGTACACAACTACACTATATCTAGCTACACATCCCTGGCGATATACGCGCCCTAACCATTGATCCTGAGACTCAAGCTCATATTATGGCACCATACTTATATATATATAATCTAGTAACCATCCTATCCAGTATAAATTAATCCTCCATCAGTCATTCAACTTGTTCAGCTGACCTGACTTGAATATAAGTAGGACTTAACATTTTAGTTAATCCATTCCCTTATATAATAAATTAATCATCGATAAATCATTCAACTTGTTCAGCTGACCTGACTTAAATATAAGTAGGACTTAACATTTTAGTTAATCCATTCCCTTATATAAAATAGGTAGGACTTAACTAATAAGTTAATCCATCCCTAGAATGCCACCGTCCCATACCGGTGCATTATACCACACAATCCAACAATTGATGTAACAATTAAGGAAATACATCAAATATTCCATAAATAACTATGATAAATATGATATCAAGTTATCACATAATAGGAATGACTTATTATTTCTTTAAACTTCCTATATCATATGTCCTACACAAACTGAATCTTATATATGATGATATTTTATTATACCGTTAAATAAGGATTCTCCATATCCAATTCATCCTACACATTTAATCTCAATTGCTAAAATATTTTAAAAGATTAAATCCATTCGTTTGTTTAAAACATTCAAATAGCAAGCATCATTATGATTAAGTCTATTTAAATTTATTAAAACCCAAACCTAATCCCTATTTAATGTTCAGGAATCTTAGGCATGTTTCTACGTTCCATCATTCCACAGATATGAAAAATACATAATTTAAACATGTAAAAATTCACATAAGAAATCAAATCAAAATCATGCATTTTATCAATTCATAACACAAGA